TTTGTTTCCATCCCTGTTGCCAGGCCCTGGGGCTGAAGATGTGGGGTATAGCTGAGGCTGAGCACACTGGCCCGGGCTGCACCCCAGAAAGTCTCACAACTTAGTTCCTTTTTTTGTTGTTGTTGGTTTTTTTTGGGGGGGGGGGGGTTGGAGCTGGTGCAGCATGTGGTGCTGGGAACAAAACCCCTCCAAGCTTAGTCTGCTGAGCTATCTCACCAGCCCTTATATATATTCCCCCCCCACGCCCCATGATACCAGGGATTGAACTCAGGACCCTGCGCTTGCCAGGCAAATGTTTATTCTACTGAGCTATCTCTCCAGCCCCTGTGTACCTTTAAAAATATGAAAAATTCTGAAATTGCAAAGTATTGCTTGCCATGAAGATTTTAGATACAAAGCTTGAAACCTGTATACATACTATACTATTAACAATGCCAGTGTTTAGTAAGTTGGCTATTATCATGACACTGGTTTTGATAATGTCAAGTTCATTAGAGCTCGAAGAGAATATAAATAATAAAAGCAGATTACCTCTTTTAAAAGTGCATTTCTAAAAGGTGAGATAAAGGGTAATCTTTTTATCTAGAAACAATTAATAGACTTTGAATACTGTATCTGTCAAAAGAAATCTGGCTGTTTTGACTTACAAAGTCTCTCCCCCAGTTCCATTTTTTGAGATAGGAGTCCTGCTAAATTGTCCAAGATGAACTCAAACTTGTGACCCTCACACTTAAGCCTCATGAATAGCTTGGATTACAGGCATGTACTACTGTCTGGCTGTCTTCAGCCTCTTTTTAAAAAATCCTTCTTATACACTTTAGTTTTTTTAATCCAATTCCTAAGGTAAAAATAGTGGGTCATTCCTGTAACTGTTTTCCTACTTAATTAATGTTATGGTTTGTGTCTAGATGTTCCCCAAAGCAAGTGGGTATAGTGATATTTTTAGAAGTGGCTAAATCTAGAGTGTGTGACTGATTGATAGTATAATGTTGAGATTAAAGGAGCTACAACTAAGGGTGAGTGATTGCTAGATCAGCTTACTTATTGGAATGGTACTGCCCTAATCCTAGTAGATTCGATATAATACAAGGGAAAGAAAGAGCCTTGGGGCTGGGGAGATGGCTCAGTAGAAGAAGTGCTTGCCTGGCAAGCACAAGGGCCTGAGTTCAATCCCCAGTTTCGCAAAAAAAAAAAAAAAAAAAAGAAGAAAAAAAGAAAGAGCCTTGTCTATCTCCCCCTTGCTTGCCTTTGTTGTCTTCTATCACCATGAACTGTTCTGCCTCTGGAATACCCTGCTCTATATTCCCAGCTGAGTATGGACTTAAACCTCTATAAATTGTGAGGTTACTGAATAATATGTATGATTTAATACATTAGACTAAACTTTTAAATCTTTATTAAGATAAATCATATAGGGGATGGGACTGTAGCTCAGTAGTAGAGCACTTGCCTACACTGTACATGCCCTGGATTTGATCCTCAGCCTCTTCCAAAAAAAATCATATACAAAGTATACAATTTGATACCCTTGATACACATGTATACTTACTAATCTTAGAATTTTTATTTAATTAACAAAATGAAAAGGAAAAATCTCATAAGTTTTATAAAAAAATTATTCAATGTTAGTGTGCATGCAATAAAGATTTGTGATAGTACCGATTTGTTGCACAATTCTAGAAGCTTGTCAGTCAGACGAGTTGCATCTCCAACAAATTTTTCTAAAGATGTTTTCATAAGGATAGCTTTATTTAGGATTTCCTTGCATCTGTTCACACGCATAGGATAAGAGGACTGTCATTAAAAAAAAAATTACATGGAATTTAATGAAACTTGCAAAGTTGAAAACTTGATTGGCAAAAAGCCAACTGAAAAAGTATTTGTGAGTTTATAGTGATCAAATTTCTTGGAAATCAACTTGTTAATACCATTAAGAAAAGTTTTTTAGTTACAGTCTGCTTCAAGGAATTGCTCTTGTTCCTTTTTGTCATAGTTAAAATCAATATTGGGGATTATAATTTGAGAAAAAAATATTACCCTTAAGAATGAATGTAGATGGCTAAACGATTCTTACTCAGTGTGATGTATAATGCAACAGGGATCCTTGTAAATTGTCATATGCCAATAAAAATGTCGTAAGTGGTAAAAAAAAAAAACAAAACAAAACCATTAAGAGCCATAAAAATGTTAGTGTTCTATAAGATGATGAATTCCCTTCTTGGGATCTACACTGAAAAAATAATGAGAAATGTGAAAAATATAGATTTGCCTACTACAAGACCAAAAAGTACAAATAACATTATGACCAACTAAATAGAGCTATTTTGGAATTTTATGCATCTAAAAATGTATTTTCTTTTATCTTTTTTTAATATTTAGTACAGGGTCTACTGGATCTCACTATACAGACTGGACTTGTAGTGATTCTCCTGTTTTCAGCCTCCCAGGCACTGAGATTACAGGTGTGTGCCGCCATGCCCAGTCTATTTTTTTTTTTTTTTTGGTTGTACCAGAGACTGAACTCAGGACCTTGTGCTTGCCAGGCAAACACTTATTGTACTGAGCTATTTCCCTGGCCCACCATGCCCAGTCTCATTCGCTGTCTCAGTGTGCCCCAGGGGTGGGACCAGCATGTCAGGCCAGGGATTGAACCCCAGTCCCTGTATCTGCCTAAGCAGGCACTTTAATCCACTGAGCTATCTGGAAGGACTTTTTAGAAATGTATTTTCAAAAACTAGTCATATGGAGATATCGTTAAGTAAAAAATACAAATTATACTTCAATGTAATTCAAATTGAGTGTTAAAACATGCTTGGAAAAAATATATATATACATATATACATATACATTACAACAGATTTTATCAAAAGTAGAAGGCATAAATTTTAATTTTAAGTCTCTATGTATTTTCTAAATGCTCTAAAATATTTATTTTATATACTTCCACTAGTAATACAATAGTTCTTTTAATATTGCTCAATTTAGGTACTTTCGATTAACATTCTTAGAAAAAATATATAATAGTTTACTAGACTTCATAAAGAAAACATGTTTAATTTTTTATCTTAAATATACTAGTTATAAAAAAGAGAAAATACATCGACAAAAACATATACATACATATATGTGTATATATACATATATTTATTTATTTATATACACATATATATGTCACTTAGCTTCCTGTTGGCATCTCCCCCCCACCACTTTTTGAGACAAGTTCTCACTATGTATTGCAGACTGGTCTGGAACTCACTTATGTAGCTGAGGTTGGTCTTGAGCTCACTGAAATTCATCTGCCTCTGCCTTCCCAGTGCTGAGATTACAAGTGTGTGCTATCAAACCCAGTAAGTGTAATGTCATAATTTCTTTTTTAAATGTATTTAAAAGTGCTCACCAAATATGGACCAGAAACCCTAGAATTTTCATCCATCCGTTACCATTAAATAATGAGTGCCATATAAAATGGTTAAGAGACATTGTGGTGATTAATATATTACCTTTGACACAGCTGTCATCATCCACATTGCTTGCTGAGGATAGGCTAGAAACACTTTGACTATTATTTCCATCAAGACAACAAAAACTTCATCATAGGAATGACAAATTCGAGAGATCAACTGTGAAAAAGCAGTAAGAAACTGATACGGAGCTAACTGATTTGTGTGTTCTGTGATAACCTTATTTATTTTAGCCAAGTCATTTCTCATCTGTACACGATCAGAACGGCCAGCTACAAAAAAAAAACAAAAAAAAAAAATCATTTTAGAAACAGGAAAAAATCCAGTAACAACCATTTCACAGAAGAAAAATTATATGTATGTATGTATTTATTTATTTGAGACAGGGTCTCACTATTTTATAAATCAGGCTGGCTTGCAACTCACAATCCTCCTGGTTCATCCTATGGCATGCTGAGATTACAGGCAGTTGCTAACATACCTCACAAAATTTTATCTTCCTTCTTTCCTTTTTTTTTTTTTTTTGCGGTACCAGGGATTGAACTAAGGACCTTGTGCTTGCCAGGCAAGTGCCTATTCTACTGAGCTATCTCCCTGGGCCCTTTTCTTTTTTCTTTTCTTTCTTTTTGTATTTTAGGAAGGGTCTACAAGGCATTCAGGGTCTCACTACTAGATTGGACTTGTAGTGATTCTCCTGTTTACAGCCTTCCAAGAGCTCGGATTACAGGTGCATGCCCAGTCTCAATTGCCTTCTCAGCGCTGGCACAGTAGGCCCAGGGACCGAACCCCTGGCCCCTGCACCTGTTTGCAGGCACTTTAATTTGTTGAGCTATTTGGCTGGCCCATTTTCTAAAATTAAAAAAACCTTTTTATTAGTACATGTTTGCATAATGATTATATTTACATAATGATTATATTCTTCATGGTGAGTTAGTACTATATAGATAGTACATCTTAATTCTTTTCAATTTTCCTTCTTCCACTCTATTTCCAAAACAGTTAAAACAACTCTAAAATATTATTTACATATCCAAAGCTATAGCACCTGCCAATTTGTGAAAAAAGAGATGGCTCTGTATAAGCAGAAAAAAGGGCCAACAGACATTAATTTTTTCCAAACATTATAATTTTTAGGGTGAGTTATTCAGCTTAAACCAACATCTTTTTTTGAAATTATTTATTTATTTATTTTGTGTGTGTGTGGCCAGTTCAGCCCACCAGGGGGCGGGGCTGGCTGGCATGTGATGCTGGGGATTGAACTGCGGTCCCTGTGCTTTGCTTTAGTTTAGCTTGTTGTAAGTAGGTGCTTTACACCACTGAGCCATCTCACCAGCCCTTAAACCAACATCTTTTACTTTATGCTGGATTCAAACTTGAAAACCCTGAAGTGTAACTACAATGATTTGTTTTTCCATTCCCTTCTCATATTCATAGAGCATTTTCATTATAAAATTCACCTGTAGCTTTAGTAAATTAGATTGTCAAGCTATGACTATACCAAAGTTATAATTCTTCCAGTCACTTAAAATATTTACAAGAGTTATACCTTTTTCCCACTCAAATGCCTTAGCACCAAAATCAAGCCATAGTGATAACATTCGCGGCATTGACTGATATATGAATTGATTTCCATACTGTAGTGATCTGTAATTATATAGATAAAAATATTATTAGCATAGTGATCACTTTTGTTATGAATTAAAATGTGAAGACTAACATTTCAGTTATATATAGGCCTTCTGACAAAAATTCTTTTTTTTTTTTGGCGGTACTGGGGATTGAACTCATGACCTTGAACTTGCCTGGCAAGCACTTATTCTACTGAGCTATCTCCCCAGCCCAAAAATTCTTAATAGAGCTATTTTTTTAAATTTACTTATTTGGTACAGGGTCTCATTACACAGCTCAGACTCATAGTGATCCTTCTTTTTTTAGCCTCCCTGGCGCTGCATGTGCCACCATACCTGGACTCCATCGTCAGCTCTGTGAGCCCTGGGGTGGGGCAGGAGCAGCATGAGGAATCAGGATGGAACCTCTGAGCTTGCCAAAGCTGTTGAGCTATCTCGCTGGCCTAATTGAGGGTTTTTTTGATGCCTCTCTTCTTTTTTTTTGTTTTGTTTCTGAAGATAAGTTCTTCATGTAGTTCTGGCTAGCTTTAAACTCATTATGCAGCCTATACTGGCCTCAAACTTGTGGCAATCTTCCTGTCTCAGCCTCCCAGTCGGTAGTATTACAGGCATACATCACCATACCTGCCAATATTCTTGGATTTACATGGCCTCCGCCAAAAATTATAAAAGGTCAGAGCTATTCAAAGTCTTGCCAATACTTGTAAAATTATCCTTAAGGTCTGTACCTTCATTTATATTTCATGGCCAAAAGGTTAGGTCAGGTCCATGATTATTTTTCTTGGAAATTATAACACCTTTGTCATCCCAATTCCTTATTTCTTCCCTCCAATAATGAACTAATATTCCTGAAATTCAGGCTGTCATGTTTTTCCCTGCTCAAAATTGGAATATACAACTTATACATTACAGTATATGAAATACTGCTGGGGTATCAAATATGCATAATCTCGTTCTCTGTAATTTTCCAATCTTTATCAGTATACACTGTTCATTAAGCTTGCAAGCAAATCACTCAATCTTGTTAAATACGTCCAGTTACTAATGTTCTCTCCTTACTGTTTTTTGAAGACTGGCCATCAGTTTATTTTATCAAACATTTTTTTTATTGTATAAAATGGTTTTGAACCCATAAAGCTAATAACTTGAGTTCGGATCTCACATATGCCCAAAGTCAATGCTTGCTAGATTTCTGGTTCATTTTTGGCATCTTAGTAATATTTGACAGATATGTCTGATATTTATTATTATTTTGGTATCTACTCACATATTCTAGAATGTACTGTTATTCAGATATTTTATATACTTCATGCTTCTCCCTCTATTTTTTAAAAAATTATTTTGGGGGCTGGCAAGATAGCTCAGCAGTCTAACGCACCTACGTGGGCAAGCAGGGACTGCGTGCCATACCAGCCCCACCCCAAGGGCAGGCTAAAGCAGCCACCCCCCCAAAAAAAAAAAAAAAAGAAAAAAGAAAATTAACAAAGAAAAATTTTGGTGCAAGAAATAGAACTCATGACTTTGCGCTTGCCAGGCAGTTACATCCTCAGGCCTTTCCCTCTCTTTATACTTTATCTTGTTGAGGGCAAACATTTATACTTAATCAGTAAAAAACCAAAATGATAACAACAAAAACAACCCCCCAAAAGCTATTCAACATAAACTCAGTTATTCAGATAAATACATCTGAATAGTTAACCTATCAAAAGTCATTACTTCTTAGGAATTAATAATGTACAAAAATGACACAATATACTATTTCACTATAAAACATTGATATATGAAATTAAGTTAAATTTCACTTGCTATTTAGTTTAAGAAAATTCTGTAGTCTAATGTCAAAATTATTATCTTACAGGCTATTTCTCATAGGAATGGACTAGAAAAAACATTGCATTAAAATTTAATCATTAACTATATTGGGATTAGGACCTTCTCTATTCTATGGTTAGGGACTTAAGAAGATGAGGGTCTGGGATGAAAAGGACAACTTTTATTACATGTTCTCAGTACTGCTGCATCTTTTTTTTTGGTGGAACCGAGGATTGAACTCAGGCCCTTGCACTTGCCAGGGAAGTGCTTATTCTACTGAGCCATCTCCCCAGCCCCGAAATGGCAGAAGGATTTTCTTTTTTGGGGCTGCTCAGGTTGCCTTTACGGCAGGTCTGGTTTGGCTTGAAGATGGGGGGATTGCACCACAGCGTTCTGAGCCTGACTGCTTTGTTTCAGCAGGTACTTAAACACCTGAGCTAATGGGCAGGCCCCTCGTTGCATTCTTTTTTTTTTTTTTTGGCAGAACCGGGGATTGAACTCAGACCCTTGTGCTTGCCCAGGAAGCGCTTATTTTACTAAGCCATCTCCCTGGCCCCTGCATTCTTTTAAATACATTAATATAGTTTTTTCACCAACAATTATTTATTTAATGTATTTGGTACAGGGTCTCACTACGGAGCTCATACTTGCAGTGATCCTCTTGTTTTCAGCCTCCCCAAGACTGGGATTACAGGCATGCACCTCCATACCCGGTGTCCATGGCTGGTTCAGCGTGCCCAGCTCAGTGTGCCTGGGAGTGGAGCTGGTGTGCAAGTGGCGCCAGGGATCGAACTCTGGTCCTTGCACTTGCCTAAGCAGGTGCTTAGCCCCCTGAGCTATCTTGCCGACCCTTTAATATTTTTTTCTTTTTTTTGTGGAACCGGGGATTGAACTCAGGCCCTTGTGCTTGCCAGGGAAGCGCATATTCCACTGAGCCATCTCCTCGGCCCCTAATATTTATTTTTAAAAAGTTTTTTTCTTAAAGTTATTTCTAAAAGGGAAGGAAAAACATCCAGGAAACAATTTATATTTTATCAGAGGCAATAGGCTGAACCAATGATAAAGGAGAAAACATCTTGAATATGCTAAGATACGTGGTAACAGTCACTTGACATACTTAATCTGCACACAAGCAGATCTTACACTTACCTTCCAAAATGAAGAACTATATACCTGATGAGGTCACCTTGCTTTTCCATTTTGTTGTCTGTTACCATGGGCATCAATTTGTCATAGTACTTAGCAAGGTAGAAATGTCCATCTTCCCACTCTGGCAGGAACAAGATGACATCCTACAAGAAAAAGGAAATACCTAAGAACATCTCACACTATACTTGGTAAAGTGTAGACAGATGATTAAAGAAAATATAAGGCCTATACAGAGTTGAAGCTGTTGCATATGACTTCAGTTTGCTATATATTTCATGACAGCATCATACAAAATTTCATCCTGGTCAGGGACCCAGAAATTGACATTGATGGTATAATGAGCTTATTTGCTCTCTGGCTTTCTGTGAGATTTAGGAAATGGAAAGTTGTAATAGGAGATTAGAAGGCAGGAAGAAAGTGAGATCAAAGTATTTCTACTCTAATTTTTTTTCCTGGGATATTGTTGAATGGGTTTATTTCTTTTCTCAAGGTTAAATTCTGATCTGATGACCCCTTCCTTGAAAAGAGCTTTTTACAGATCCCAGTAAATGCTCTCTCCTCTTGATCTTTCAGATCTAGATAGGGCAAGGTTTCCTGCTTTTGCTAGAAATAAGGTAACTTTACCATCTTTCATTGATTTTCTTTAAACTACTTTTTCATTAAATTCAATGAATTCCTTTGATTTGTCACATACTATCTGACTGCACCCAATCTCACGCAGTATTGTAAAGAGTGTCTTGAAAAGGACAGAGTGGACTAAAAAAATGTAACTAATACTACATGAGGTCCTGAATTTATTTTTGTCACAAAAAGAATATCATTAAGGGCAGGAAAGACAGCTCAGCAGACTAAGCACCTGCTTAGGCAAGTACAGGGGCCGGAGTTCCATCCCCAGCACCACATGCTGCATGAGCCTTAGCCTTGAGCACGATGAACTAGCTACTGAGACCAGGCACGGTGGTGCACATCTGTAATCCTAGTCCTGGGGAGGCTGAAAATAGGAGGATCATTACAAGTCTGAGCTGCATAATGAGACCCTGTACCAAAAACAAAAAATAAAAGAAAAACAAAAAAGAACATCATTGACAAAACTGTACTACTGTATCATATTAATTTCTTAGACCTGATCACTGTACAATGGTTGTATATAATACCAAAATTAGGAAAAAATGTAACAAATGGTAGGTATGGGAATTCCATACTATTTTTGTAATTTAATATTTAAGCTTACAATTATTTTAAAACAAAAATTTAAACATAAAAGTGCTAGAGAAAAAATGTTTCTAGTTATTTTCAGTCTTAGAATTTCCACGTTTTACTTTTTTAGTTATTTTTTTGAGACAGGGTCTCACTCTATAGTTAGGCTGTTGTCAAATTTGCAACCCTCTTGCTCCAGCCTCCCCAGTGCTAGGATTACAGACATGGGCTACATAAATTTTAAATTCTAATTGTCAATATAATTTTCATATTTAAGCATATTTTTGATAAATATATTAGCCAGCTGAATTATCACTCCAATCAAGACAATGAACATACCTAACTTTCCCAAATCTTTCTGTACACCTTTCCCACCAATCTCCTTCCACTCACTAGCCAGGCAACTACTGACATGATTCCTAACAATTTACATCACTTTTGCCTACTCACTATACTGTAATTTGTTTATCCATTCTCTATGGATGAACACAAAGGCTATTTTTTGTGTGTGTCAATAAAGCTGCTAGCCTTTTTTATGTACTCCAGGCCGGCACTGACCTTGCAATGATTCTCCTGCCTTAGCCTCCTGAGTGCTGGGATTACAGGTGTGCATCCCCATGCTGGATGTATGCAATAACTTCTCTTGGATAAAGGAATTAGAAAGACTAAGTAGGTCTATGTTACTTGCATGTTATCTGCTTATTTTCCTACTGGCAGTGGTGAGAGGTTCAATTCCTATGTGAGAAGTGGATCTCACAGTGATTTTAAAAATTTACTTCTTCCTTATGGTTACTGATATCTTTTCATGAGCTTTCAAACCACTAATATATGCTCTTTAGGAAGTATCTATTGAAGACTTTGGCAGATCTTTAAATTGGTTTTGTTATGTTTTTTAGTTTTTTTTTTTTTTTTTTTTTTTTTTTGCGGAAC